GCTGATTCAGTCGGGGTTACACAAAGCTTTGAAGGGCTCGAAAATTCCCAAAGGCAGTGCTACCAGCAACACTGAAGAAAAAGCTGATGTGAGCAAATCTGGAATGAGCGATGAAGATTGGGAGGAACTGGATTTGAGAGCGGCAAGCGCGATACGACTGTGTCTGGCCAAGAATGTTCTAAGAATGTTCTTGCTAATGTGCATGGAATTTCGACGGCAAAAGCATTATGGGACAAGCTTGAGGAGTTGTATCAGGCTAAAGGCGTCTCAAATCGGGTGTATCTAAAGGAGTAGTTTCACACACTGCGAATGACTGAAGGTCAAAGCATCTCAGACCACTTAAGCGTTCTCAATGGGATCGTCTCGGAGCTGGAATCCATTGGAGTGAAGATTGATGATGAGGATCAGACGTTGAGACTCATCTGGTCTCTTCCAACTTCTTATGAACACATGAAGCCGATCTTGATTCATGGGAAGGAGAAAATTGTATTTTCTGAAGTCACTGGTAAAATTCTTGCGGAAGAGACAAGGCTAAATGGTGGACGAAACAATTCACCGGAAGGTCAAGTCATGCTCGTCGGTGACGGAAAGAAGAGAAACTCCAGGAAGAAGCAAGTTGTGATTTGCTGGACGTGTGGACAATCTGGGCACGTGAAAAGAAATTTTCCGAAATGAGGAGCAACCGAGCAGGTTCGGCAAAAAGCTCGAAGTCGGTAAGTGGATATATTGAAGAAGCTAATTTTGTCTCTCTCTCCATGGATGAGTTTTTCTAAGAGAGAAAGGGGAGTCCTTATGGCATGTCGCTAAGTGTCATGAAAGAGGACGTGTTACAATTAGCGGGTCAACAGTTTACACACGGGCATTGGTTTGGCGGTGATGCAAGGTGTGTGGTGGAAAAAGCGTGTCGAGGGCTGATGAACTTCTAGGAAAGCTAAACGTGGAAGTTGCACCATAGATTTCAGCAAGGTTATTTCGACATGGGCCGAAGAAATGCTTGGATGTGAGTCCGAGTGGATATGCTTTTATGGTGGAGCATGATAGCGA